GGAGCTCAAGCAGAATCCCCTGGGGATGCAGGCACATGTAAATATAGGTCTCAAACTTACTCATCTTCACTCAATTTCCATACCAAAATCTCTGACAATGTTACCAACTATTTCTAGTTTCTAACTGCAAGCATCTTTTGATTATTGCTCGCCGTGGAGCTGTTGTGTTGGGGACGGTGGCCGAGAGAGCTCAACATGCTGCAACTGAAGAAAACACATGCAAATAGAAAAAAATATGAATACAATTAGAAGTAAACTAATGCAAATAGAAAAAAAAATCAGTTTTACAACACACGTGTGCTCCAAATACTCACAACACAACCAAATACTAGGGGTTTCACAACTACTGATTTTTGCTAGTCGACTAGTTTTGCATAACAGTCGACGACTAGTCGACTAGTCGTTAAATGGTTTATTCTAGGGGTGTGCGACATCACGAATAGTAAATGTCTCCACGATCTGCTTTTGAAGAAATATGGTAGTAGTATCGTGTTACAGTGCATTCTAGCAGTTCTGGCGCCTCTGTCTCAACTGTACAACGCGACGTAGCCTACACATCACACGTTAAGGAATAGGTACGGGACACTGCAATTCACAAAAGTTCATTGTTTGCATAAGCCTTGCCGGTTAAACATTTAATTCACGCGCTGTTCTGACGTGCGCTTTCCTGAGCGCGTGGCATATCCCCGACGCTCACTGTCAAACAGCGCCTGAATACTGGACTAAGTTATCTTTCAAGTCTTATTATGCTAATACTGTTAAATACACACAATGTTTACATAAACAGAATTGGCTATGTCTAAAGTGAAAGCAAACATTTGAGAGAAAATCTGGTGTAGGCTAATATGCGTCTATATTAAACACGTCGCGTGCTGGTCTAAAAGCAAGAGTAGTACTCGTATTTTCCGCACTATAAAGCGCACTTAAAAGCCTTTAATTTTTTCAATCCGGCCTTTTCTCAAGTCTTATAATCCGGAGCGCATTATATATGGATCAATTGCTCGCGCTCGTGTCCATCTTATGCACGCTTTGTCACACGGCCAGTTCAACCTTGTATAAATCAGGTTATATGTGTCTCCCGCTCACGAGCGCTCTCTCTAACACACATACGAACAGACACTGCTGTCAGCAGGCTGCGAATGTAAGTTACGTGCCCGCCCCAGCGCGCTCACACTTACTAAATAAACGCCTCACCTCCGACGCCGCGCACTCGCTGCATTCCCTTTAGCACATCTAGTGGATGCATAATGCAAACCCAGTCAAACGTTTGAAAAATGTTCTAAAATAGGTCATTGAAGGTGCGCCTTATAGTGCTTATAGTATATAGTACTGCCGCTTGTGTTTAAAGGGATAGTTAACAAAAAAATATATCTATATATATGTCATCATTTTGTTTCCGACTAGTCGACTAAGGCCAACAGCGCCAACTAGTGGTTGTGACAGTCGACTAGTCTAGGTCTTGAATTCACCTGCAATTAACTACAACGTGCAGTTTTTTTTTTCATTCTAAACGATGATGTAAACTGCGAGCTGTTTTGCTGCATCTGGCCACTTCATGTGTTTCTGTGATCTGATTGCTATCCGATCGTAAAAAGACCAGGTGTAAGCTAAATGCCCTCCGAAACGCATTCGAGACGCATTTGAATTCCGATCGCTCAAACCACTTCATGGGGAGGTCTTGGCCACTTTACAGACGAAACTGGACACATGTAAATGCATCTGGTTGTTGAAACTGCATTTGTAAATTGGACTTCTCCCAAAAATGCTGAAAAAAAAAAAAAAAAAAAAAACCTTGTGACAGCGTGTTAGCCTATGCTATGTTATATTTATTATATGACGAAGCTATGGCAGAACGCATCACCACAGCTGAGCATCTATTAATCAAGCCAACGTGCAAACTATCGTAAATCAAAGTGAAGGTAAGTCAGACGCTTAACACGCAATCATCTTTGTTAAAAGTAAAGAAACAAAAATGATCTTACCAGTGCTGTCTCTCTTATTGCGGTCTTTGATTTTGAAATTAGCTTATGATCAATAAAATGCAGCTCATTACTGTTGCTTTCGGTGATGTGAACTCCGATAAATCTGCATATAGCGCGTTGTTTGAAGATCGGATTTATATCCGTTTTGTGAAAACATATTTATGTGACCAGGTGAAAATGGAAGCGATTTGATAAATCAGATCAGTAAAAACGCATGAAGTGTCCAGGTGTAAACGGCCCCATTATGAGCTGTCAGCATCTGTATAATTTTCTGTTATTTAATTTGCAAATTGTGGCATGTTGCAAATCAGTCCATAGCAGTCAACCCTCCCGTTTTTTCCGGGTTTCTCACGTATTTTTACTCTTTTCCCGCTGTCTTCCCGTTTTAGTATTTTCCCGTAAAATATCCCGGATTTTTACTCTGATTGTGTGAGACGTACGAGCTCGGACTGATTCGGCTTGAAGTCGTTTATTCTCAGATGCGGCGCCGCGCGCGCTGGCCGGAGACACACTGGCTGTGTGGCGTGTCCGTTTTTATTTCGGTTCCCATGTTAACAGATTAGAGCTTGCACACTCCAGAAAACGCGTGCATGCTAGAAATAGAACTGACGCCTATATTTTTCACGTGACACGCAAGCGTGTTGAAAGCGTTTCCAGGCAAAAAATAAATAAATAAAAAATAGGAAACGATGTTTATATGTCATTTTGTACTCGAATAGCCTACATTTTACATTTTGATGTTTGAAAGTCAAGGTTTTTACATAAATTCAGATATCAATGTAATTTAAACAAATAATAATTATAATAATCGATTTATATTGCCATTAGTTTTGCCTATATATAATTTAATGTCATATAACATATGAATAAAATATCTTTTCTTTTCTTTTCTTTTTTTTCCATTTGTTTCTTATACTCTTAACAATGATTACACAAAGAAGAAGAAAAATCTTTTGGAAAAAAACGTTCTGGGCCTCAGGAGGATATAAAGATGGGATAGGCTACAATAACAACAGAGTGTTTCTTCTGAGTGATGGTCCACCATCAGGCTAAATATAGGCTCTTTAAAACTACAAAAAATGTGTAAATGTAATTGAAATAAACAGACAGCCCACTTCCCTATTTTGTGGGTTTTGGAAGATGTGATAACAGTTGAAATTGTTGTCATAAAGGCAAGAGCAACACACCGCTAATCCAAATGTAGATTTTTTTTTTCTTTAAATGACACTAGTTTCTAGGCTAGTTATTAACTCTTTAGACTTTTAAGGATTAGTGCTTTATTTTTTAAAGTTTGTGGGTAAGAATCGTGTAAAAAAAAAAAAAATCCCTTATTTTGGGGAAGGATTCCGGGAAAACTCCCTTATTTTCAATGTTCAATGTTGACAGCTATGAATCAGTCACATCGCTTGTGTTTTTATTAATGACGTCAGTGACTAGTCAACGTCGACTCGACTTTGATGTCATAACAGTCGACCTAAAAAATGTGAAGTCGTTCAACCCCTAAAACACGCTGCAAGTAACACAGACCACAACGGAAATGTTTCCTGGGGAACCAAATAAGTGAAGAACTCGGCTGGGACGTGCTTATTGCTTGTGAGCACCCCTATGCCCTACTCCCTTCGAAGGGCAGATGGCAGAGCTCTTCAAGTGGGAATTCGGAGTAAGCATGGCACCAGTGTAACCAGGGAGCAACAAAAGACAACAACATTTCCTCATTATTTTCACCTGGGATGTTCCCATTAAAATGCAGCACGTTGTCCATCAGCTGAATAGCCGTTCTGACGACAGAAATGTAACATAACGGTTACAAATAAATTTATTTTTTTATTTTTAGTTAAAAAAATTAAAATAAACTTTTAAAATATGCGTTATATATATCCGTTATACTATATCTGTGTGTCAGTGTCTCAACTTTAAAACTTTGGACCCTACATTTCTTATGGAACTGTTATTAAAGAAAATTTAAACATAACATGAAACAATTTGTATAGTGTAACTGATGTATCGATTAATATCTTTCATTTATGTTCTTCTTTATCTTTTTTATTTCTTTATTTTAGTTTTCATCTCATTGTTCTTTTATCATTTGTATTCTGATGACATTGAATTAATATGACATTTGTTATAATGACATATTGTTAATACATTTTGTATATTGTATACAAGTTTTATGTAATAAAAAATGTAATCTCTGTAAATTCTGTGAAAAAAAATTAAAAGAAAAAAATTAATATATATATATATATATATATATATATATATATATATATATAGGTATTTAATAAAGCTTGGACCAGCATGAAACCATGTTACCAAGTAGAACGTTAAGCTGTAAGCACGTCTCAGCCGGGTTTGTCACTTATTTGGTTCTCCTGGAAATATTGTTATTTGCAGCGCGTTATTTTCTATTTAAATAGTGTTATTTGCAGCACGTTTACAGTATGTATTTGGTTGTGTTGTGAGTATTTGGAGCACACGTGTGTTGCAGAAATGATGAAGATGTTTTCTTAATTTGCGTTTTTTTCCCATGTGCATGCTTTTTTTTCTATCTGCATGCGTTTTATTTTTTATTTTTTTCTATGTCCATGCATCTTCTTTAGGTTGCAGCACATTGATCTCTCTCGGCCACCGTAGTTGAGTATTTGTGCAGTGTCTTAACTTAGCAACCAATTTTACTGGATACCTTCCAAAGCACAATGCAGCTTGGAGTAGAGTAGGGTTGGGCAACTATGGTCCTGGAAGGCAATTGTCCTGCAGAGTTTAACTCTATCCCGATTCAAACACCTAAAAAAAAAAAAAAAAAATCGAACCTATTCTTGCAAATTACAGCTACAGTAGTTGTGATTGATGGAACTAAACTATGCAGGACATCCAGGAGTTGCCCATCCTTGAACTAGATGCTTTCAGGGCCTCAAGTAGAATCCACCTAAAGTTTAATGAGGTTTAAGGTGGTCCCTAAACAACATGTGCTCACATGCTAAATGTGTTTTCATGCTAACTCTGCATCATTTTTCATAGGTGGGCTATGAGAATGCAGGCACAGTGGAGTTCCTGGTGGACAAACATGGAAAGCACTACTTCATCGAGGTGAACTCCCGCCTACAGGTGGAACATACGGTTACAGAGGAGATCACTGAGTGAGTGAAAAATGTTGCAATTGCATTTACAAGATGCACACGAAATAGACTCACAGAGATGTGGGAGGCTCTTATTTTAGGATTCATAGCTTGTTTGAGCTAGTTAACTTGGCACATGTTGAAAGTTACATGAATAGCAAATCAAACACATTATAGATTTGTGTTTGCATGTAAATACTACGTTCATTTCTCTGATATGTCTGGAGGATATTACATTTGCCATTATATTCTATCCATATGCTTTCTTATTAAAGCGACTTCTAAGAAAGCACAAACATCATGTACCCTGCAATTACTTAAACAGTCAAACACTGTAGTGCAAATATACAAATTCTACAGTAATTGCATTCACACACTGCTGTAGCATTCATAGCTCACTAGACGAACTAGCTGAAACCGGCTTCTGATAGCTAAATTTACATGGTTTCATGCTGGTCCAAGCTTCTCATTTTTGATTAACTGGACTGCCAGCTGGCTGACCTGCTTTCAACCTCAGAGCACAGTGGTTTTCAACTAGTGGACCTCATCAAATTTCAAGGGGCCTCACGATTAATGTTCTGACATGTCCTGACATTTATACTTTTTTCAGTTGCTTATAAACTTATTAATGGCACAAATGAAATTATACTATATTTAGCACAGACAGGGCTACCATAATATGTAAGCAACATGTATGTACATGTTTGTATTTTTGAGAGAATATTGCTTATGCGTGGTTGTTAAAAAAAATAATAAAAATTAAAGTTTTTGATATAAGGCCACAAAACACATACAAAATATGCGTCCACATTACCACATTACATGACTAATGGATGTTGTGGCCTAGAGTTTTTTCTTCACAATGATCGTTCACATAAAACTGTGAATTGGGTTATATTGTGAAAAAAAAAAAAAAAATTGTTAAAATTTAAACAGTCTTTGTGCAGTTTACAGACACTATTCAATAACGCGATTAGAACAAAGCACTTAAGAATAAATGACACATCAGCTACATCTTTGTGCTCCTCGAAATGAAACAGGTAACTGAGGTAACTTTTCCAGGATTATTATGACAGTATTATTCCTCACGGCGCAGCAAGACGAGGTAAAGGCTAGATTTATGATAAACTGGATGTTTTATCCAGCTGATGTGGGCATTTGAATAGTGCGCGCTCGCAGTGGGCGGGGTCACATTAACACATCATGTCTATAATTATAATTAATCTCTCTTTTTATACAGATTACATCAACTGAGTTGCTTTTTTAAAGAGCATATTGCAGGTAAAAAAAAAAAATCTAAATTTATAGATAACCTTGTATGAAAATACCATATGAAAAGTTAATGCAGGATTTAAAATGTTTTAAAACAACATAAGGGCACTAATTTAGAAGATAAAGTGAGCGTTTCTTGGACTTCTAGTAAAAACAGCTTTTTTTTCAACATCGCGTCATTTGACGTCATATCAGGGAGCCGCAGCCTCGGCTCAGTGTAGAGCAGGCTGGTATTCATTGAGAGCGCTCGTCAGTCAGTGTGCTTTCGTTAGTTTTTGCATTTTAATTTATCATCGTCATGGTAAATTATTGTGTTTGTGGAGATTGCAAAAACTCCAGCATGTTAGGACTTCAAGATCGAGTCCACAAGTTTCCATTACAATAAAAGTGACGGTGCTATAGCCTATCTTTCGTTCCTGGTTCGGTTTGAGCAGGTGAAGAGACGGGATTTCTCTTCTGCATCGGCTCGGAAAACGCGGTCGTGTGTTGCGTTCACTTCAGATCAAATGATTAGCATCCCGGCGATATGATGGAGTTCAACATCATGGTATGCCGAAGCAAGAATATTGATCGTCGTATACTACCAATATGGCATCAAATAGTGTTATATAGGTAACTTAGTCATGTCATGCCCTAAATAGAACTTGTAATTGAAAAACAAAATTGGTTGTTTAAATACTCAAATCTTTAATGTTCTGTTTATGTTATAACCTATAGGTGAAAAATATGTATTAAAAATTTACCTGAGTATAGCCTATGCTTTTAGTATAGAAATATACTCAAGTAAAGTTTTTATACATTTAATAGTATATAAATCTACCCTAAACATACTAATGTCTGCTGGCCTGTTATAGGATCATAATAATCTGTAAAATATTGTGAGCACAGTGTATATCGTTAGCGAACGTGTATACTATAAGCACGTCTCTCACCTAAAAGGCACCTGTCCTGTTCTCCACTGGTTCTCTTCACATCACAGGTCAATTTTTCTCTGACCATTCTGTCTGACATTATCCTGGCCTGTCCCTGATCTCTTTAGCATAGCAGGCTTATAACTTTATGGCTTGATCCATCATACGAGTATTTCCTCAGCGTCCGAAATGTCATGCGATCCATTGTTTTCCTGTTGTGTGAATCGACGGCTCTCCCGCTCATTGCGTCACGCCCGCCACGCCCATTTTCAGACGCGGAAGTAAAATTTTTTCACAAAAACGACTGCAGAAGCTTCTGTAGCGTGTTTATACGTATATTTTAAAGAAAATGTAGTTCCTACATTGTTTTTCTATGCATTGACTCGTTGGGTCCTCTAACCTGCAATATGCCCTTTAAATGACTTCATTTAAAATAAGAGAATTTCAGCTTCAATCTTGAAATCTTGAAATTTGAAATCTTGAAATTTCGTGTCTCTTTGACAAGTATTTACTGAGTTACAGTTCATTTTTCGGACGCATTTCAGAAAGATTTTTGATGAGACGCATGGCGCACCCTGTTTATTTTATTTATTTTACAAAAACACAAGGTTGTGATGTTAAAGGGTTAGTTCACCCAAAAATGAAAATTAAGTCATTAATTACTCACCCCCATGCTGTACCAACCCCGTAAGACCTTCGTTCATCTTCTGAACACAAATAAAGATATTTTTGATCAAATTTGAGAGCTGTATAACTACCACATTGGCTCCTAAGGGACTGCCTCTTGACGGCCCAAAAAGTCAATGAAGAAAATGTTTAAATATCCCAAGTGACTACCGTGGCTCAACTATATGTTTATCAAGCGACGCGAATACTTTTTGTGCGAAAAAACAAACAAAAATAACGAGTTTATTCGACTATTTCTTTTCTTCCTTGTAGGCCAGAACGAGAGTTCCTTCCTTTCCACGACGCATGTGCGAGAATTGCGATCTGCTTACACCAGCTTACACTACTTCAGATCGCAATTCTCGCGCATGCGTCGTGGAAATCTAAGGAAGTCTCGTTCTGGCCTACAAGGAAGAAAAGAAATAGTCGAATAAACTCGTTATTTTTGTTTGTTTTTTTCGCACAAAAAGTATTCGCGTCGCTTGATAAACATATAGTTGAGCCACGGTAGTCACTTGGGATATTTAAACATTTTCTTCATTGACTTTCTGGGCCGTCAAGAGGCAGTCCCTTAGGAGCCAATGTGGTAGTTATACAGCTCTCAAATTTAATCAAAAATATCTTCATTTGTGTTCCGAAGACGAACGAAGGTCTTACGGGGTTGGTACAGCATGGGGGTGAGTAATTAATGACTTAATTTTCATTTTTGGGTGAACTAACCCTTTAATAAGAGTGTACACACAGAAAGAAGACCCTCTATAGTTTATAATCATGTATTTATTTTATTTGTATCATAAATAAAAATATATATTTAAAAAAACAAAAACAAATCAAAACTGGGGACACGTTTTTTGTCCCCAGACAGTTAAGATGGTATGACCTGTTTTTTTTATTTTTTTATTCACTGGCAAATCAAATAAACAAATAGTAGTACTTGTACTACTGTATATATATATATAGTAGAACCGGTGAAAACAGTCTTAAAGTAGATGATCAGTTGACTGTTGTGATTGGTTATTTGAAGTATGTGAGCCATTAGCTCCAAAATTAGTGTGTTAGCCAGAATAATAACAGTATGTGCAAACATACAACATGCATGCAAATTTGCCTAGATACTTTTGTGTGAATGTGTTAGCAGTCTGTCAATGTATAGTCTCAAAAAAAAAAAAAAAGTCTTCTGCCCCACCTTGAGAAGTTGGTCAAGGGGAGAAAGTGATGCTAGGAAGATCGAATGAGAGAGAACATGTGTTAAGGACAGCATGTGTATGAGAGAAATGAAGGAAGAGGAGAGAGGCGTTATAAATAGCTCTCACCTCCCCTGATAACCTATGAGCTGCTCCATAATGACATAGAGATGAGCCTGATCTCATCACATACACATACACACACACACGCTGACAAGCATGCAGACATTAACGCACTGATGAGTCAAATGATTGATAGCGCTCCTTTCATTCTTCCTCTACACACAGTCACACACACAAACACATCTTTGTGTTTTCCAGCACAAGTTCCTTGCCACAGAAATGGAGACTCATACATTATAGATATCAGAGTTGTCAATTGTAGCTGACAGAGCTGCTCTGAATTGGCTCTCATTGCATGTGCTGCCATCTTAGATTTGCATTGGATTTGTTGAAAAATATTATGAGAATTAGTCTGTCTTATGGATATTATACTGGCTCTTTTAAATGGGAAAAAAAAAATGCATGGTTTACATTGCAGTCATATTTCTATGCCTGTATGTATAGTTTGCCTCTCAAAACGTGTGTGCATTTTATACCATTCTGCTCATTACACAGCGATAAAACAATCAAATCTATAGCACACATAATGAATTGCGTTGTTTATGTGTTTTAAAGCCCTTTACATTGCGTGCCATGGTCGCATTGTAAACATAACAGCTCAAGAACTGTGCAATGTTTCTGGACAAAGTGCAATACCCACAAATAAGACTGTTCAAACTAGCTGGTTTTCAAATCTGAATAATAACATAAACTCTCTATGAAGTATACTCAGAGAAAATCCAAATACTCCAGACATTGTAGTTTTTAATGAACTTTCTAAAAACATTCTGATTCTGGAAGTCGGTTGTTGTTTTGATGCTCATATTGATGTTTATTCTGAGAAAATGTTAAAATACCAGTCATTAACAAATGCTTTAGCAGTGTG